GGATTCCTCTGTGAGAACAACAGTGGTAGTTGGTTTATCTTGCCTTCATCTTCCAACAGGATCTTGGAGAAAAGAAAATTCAGGATATACAATGAAACACACAACAAGAATATACTCTTATCCAAAACCATCATGCATGGAGTATTCTGATACCTGGGTCAGTGAAAAGAAGAAACCATCAAAGTTGTGGTGGGGACTAGAAGCCAAACAACCAATGGGGAAAAATAACTTAGGGAAGGGAGTGTGAAACCTTGAAAATTCAAGAAACCCAGAGTACTAGAACAGGCAATGTCAACACAAATGGCCTTCAGCCATGACATTTGGATTCCATTTGCACAGCACCTTAAGGTGCAAACAACTGCAGAAAATCTTACTTGATCGAAACGCTTTTTAAAAACTCTCTGCCACGAGCTAACAAACTGAAGACTTTGCTTTACTGATTAATATTTGTTAAACACCTGAGGCGGTCCCTGGGCAGCTACCTTCAATAGTGGAGAAGAGCAAAAGTCAAGAAAGCATGACTGAGCACATGGAAACTGGAGTTAGTCAGAGCAGCTCTAAGTGCCTCTTTAAACCAGCCTGAACACACGGCGATTTTGCTGCTTTTTCTGAAGCAGCACTCACATCAACAGCCACACTAGCACAACATGGGAACTCTCACCAAGCAGCCACAGGAGGAAAAACAGCTTCTCAGATTTGCCCCAGATATTTGCCGCATGGACACATGCCCACAGCTCATGGACATGTGTCCTTGGCTGTAGGGTTCTGCCTCCAAAGCGGCACAGAGGTTACCTTGCAGCGGCGACGGTGACTGCTGCCCTTGGCCCTTGGCCTGCTCTCTCTCAGAGGTTTCACCCTCCTGTCCACCCAGGAGAAGGCTCAGCTCTTTCAGCTTAGTGTGGCTAGCTGGCACGTACTGCAGTGCTGTGGGGTGAGTCAATACGCGGTACTTCTGGAAAGCTGCGCTGCTCTGCAGCACTTTCCATCAGTAATGCTCTTCATGTGATCTATTCTTTCACTATGTATATATATATTTTCTATCCTTTCTCTGAAGTAACTCAAACCCCTACATTCTAATTCTCCGAAGTAACTCAAAATTCTACAGTAACGTAGAAACTTACACCCGACACATTTATTTATTAAATTCATCAAATTCTAAAAATTGTCAAAGCTTAAATTAAAAACAGGGTAGTTGATACATCCTCCTTTCCTTATGCTTTATCCAGAATGACTGCTCAGTGCTTTGAACTGATGAATAAAGATCAACTTCTTAAAATCATTGCAGTGAATATTGATTTCATTCTTCTCTGAAGTCACGCTCCACATTTTACAGCAGGCAGAGTAAGGAAACCTCCAGCACCCTCTGTTCCTGTGGTAGCTCCAAGCCTAGAAGGATTAGTGTTGCCTGTAGCAAGTTTTTGCTGAATTGCTCACATATTACATTGCTTCCTAAATAACCACAACTATAAACACGCTGAGCAAAACCAGACAGTACAGCAGCTGTAGCAAATAAAGGCAAGAAAATGAAGATGGTCAAAGTAAAAGAACATTTTGGACCTTCTAAACCCTAATATTCAAGACAGGCTTATAGGTAGATGAAGTATGCTTATATCTTTGAGAAACTCAGAGCAGTAGTTTGAAAATATTTTATGCACATTGTCATGAGTAATTGGTTTTGCCATGAATGTGGGATTGGAAGATATTAGAAAGTAGCTAAGCGTAACTATTATTTGCCAAGTAATAGCAGACAACACATGCTTGGAAACTTGCTGTGAATGCTTTCTGTTGCTACAGTCAACCTGTAGTCCTCAATACTGAGGATTCTGATATTTTAAATATATTTCAGAAATGAATTAACTCTTTGATGTTTTCCAGCTTATGAGTTCTCTGAATATCACCATTAGAAGGATTTAACTGGGATTTTAAGCAGTTTTTTGGTCAGAAATGTCATTAACATTATTCATCATCCTAGGTTTCTCACTATCTTTTTATATGTAACAGAAGAAAGATAGCAATAGAGACAACTTAATAGCCATGAAGACACTAAAGATAGGGCAGTTATCAGCTGAATCACACATATTTTGATGAAATTAATTGGGAAATTTTCAAAAAGTGATCCTATTCTTGTCTCTATGGTAAAAGACCTTCCAATCACACAGTTACACTGGGGCTGTTTTCGTGGCAAGCAGCAGAAGTTACATGCACAGAAAATGCCTCTTGGTTTTGTTTTTGAAGACCTGGATCATTCAGCATCTGTGCCTCAGGGGGTTTGTTTTTCTTACATGGGTACAGCCACTGATTTCTGCTTCACTGTGCTCTGCACATGTAGGAAAACAGATTAGCCAGTGTTGTTTTCTTTCTGTACTTTGTGTGTGGGAGGAGAGTAAATCTCTCTGACCCATTCCACCCACGACACTTCAGTTAGTATTGGGCAGCACCATTATCAATCTCACCAGCTGAATTCAGGGAACTCAAAATTGTCACAGGCACGAAACATTCCAGCTGTAGGAGGAAAATAAGAGTTGTCTTCTTCTGTCTTAACCCAGCATGGGCTGGTGCCTGTAAGTGTTACGATGGCAATCTCATGGGGAGAGGATATGAGTGTCTGTTTCAGAACTGGAGATAAGTGACATTTTAGAGGATGAGTTTTGTCATGGGCAATCCACTCTCGCATCAGGGTAGCTAAAGCAAAGCCCATGGAATTACATTTTATATGCAGGGTAAAGGAGCATTCCCAGGTAATATCTACAACAATTCCTAGTCAAACTCTGAAAAAAAATAATAAAGCAAACCAAAAAGGCCTACTCGACGGTCATGGACCGCAGTCAACTGAGGGCAAGAGGAGTAAGAGGTCTGCTAGCAGGGATCCTCTCCAGAAACTGCTACCAGTACAGCTATATTAGTTTTTGTGAGAAACTGCTGCTTGCGTGGGCCTGCTATAAATTTATTCACAGTAACATCCACCAGAATTGTGCTTCCAGGACAGAGGGAAAGGTCATGTGTGGCTGGGGCAGAGCACAGAAGTGTAAGGCATCTCTCTTCATGTTCCTAGCCCTTAAATGATCCTACAAATAGATAGTGGGGATTGGGGTGCTGTGGGAAATCCTACCTTGGGGAAGGGGTAGGGCGTTGCATGTAAACATCATGCCCCAAAAGTGGGCTTCTCTGGGTTAAGAAAACAATGTGACCCCACATAATTAAGTGCTTTACATGTCCTTGAGGAAATGAAAAAAATCGCAAGAATTCATAGTAAATATTGCCTGAAGAAAGTAGTTTCCAGTTTCCATTTAGGAGCAACTACATTGCTGGCGTAATTAGGCACAGCTCACATTCCCCAGAGAAAATGTGATGAAACACGCAGTGCAAGAAAATAAATGAAATAGCCCCATGATTAAATCTCCACCAGCTACCTCCACACCAATTTTTTCATATATTCCCCTCCTAGAAAATACTTCTTACACCTTGGGGGATTCTTTCATATACTTTTGGATTAATGAGAATCTCTTCCAGTAACATTCATCACTTAGTAATGATTTGTTTTTAATATATCAGCTCACAGCAGCACCTTTCAATGGGAAAAGCATTTCCATAGTACAGCTATTGCCTGGCTAAACTGTGGACAAAATTGTGCAGAATACCTTAATTTAACATCACGAGGCTCAAACCATGCCCTTAAGTGCAAAATAACGAACAGAGAATGAATAAAATCATGTTCGTCTTTTGCATTTTTATTGCCCTTCACATGCTCAAGATGCCATATGGGATTTAGCACATTAATCCTTTCCCTACCAGTATGAGAGAAGTAGGTATTATTTCCCCCACAGCTCGAGAGGCACAGACAGACATGTTGTTTTCAGAAGGCCTGAGCCTCACAAGTGCCAGCATGAGCTGTACACATTTATTGTCTTATAGAGGCAGGGCTGCAGTGAGTTGGCCTTGCCATGCAGCCAGTTACTAGTAAAGCCAGAATGCTACTAGACCAGCACTTGAAAAATCTGCCAGGTCCTCTTCTCGTACTTTTCCATGTGCCATCATCAGGCAAGGGTCTTCAATTTCTGCAGAATCCAAGATTTAATTGAAAAGTAATGGGATTGGCCCTGTAGTTGCATATCTGAGCTGAGCGCAACTTTAAACGCTGATCCATTCCTAAGTGAGATCACTGCTTCTCTGGCTGTGCAGAGCTTCTCCAAGGTGTGAGACATCTACCTTCCATTACAGCAGAAGGCAGGGTGAGACTCATCCTGACATTTCCATCGAGAATATGTGGGAAAGGTGCAATGTGAGGGCTCTCGTGATACATGAGATAGGGTTTTGGGCAGGTGCATGAGTAGAGGCTTATTCAGCGATGGGACTTTGAGGAATTAAGGAGGAAGGAAGGTCTTCAAATGGGTCCACTTCTCATTTACCAGAAGAAGAAATAGTAACTTAGAGCCCCTGCTCGGTGTCTGGGGCAGAAGTGTGGAAGAAGTCCTGTAGCCACAGGACTGGTGGGAGGGACAACTCTGCACTTGAGTTTTGTCCTCAACACAAAGTTTCCTGTTCATCTTTATCTTGTAGGTGTCACAGACAAAGGCACGAGAGGTACGATCTGAATGGGTGGGAAGCAGAGTGGAAAAGCAGAAGAAACTGGCAGCACAGTTTCCTGGAGTACTTTTTTATAGCTTGATAATAAAAGACATACTTTGTGGGAAAGATGGGTGAGAAATCCGAAAACAGAAAATGTCAAGATAAAAACATGCTATGGAAAGAGAGAAGGGGAGATAGCAAGAAAGAACAAATCTTAAGAATGGTTACTTCTCAATGACAGAAGACAAATGGAGTGAAATTTTGGAGACAATGAAGATAGGGACAAAAAAGGAAGATTATGTAGGTAGTCTTTAAAATATGTGAGTGAGAAAGTATTGGCAACATAGATCAGAATGCTATAAACAGCATTCCAGCATGTAGCCTTGTCAACAGCAGCAGCCCAGTCTGGGAAATACAGTCACACCAGCGTTACATCAGTTCAGGTGAAAAGCTTTAATACAGTTACGATGAACATTCTTATGCTGGACAATGAGCAATGTCTATCTGACATGGATCAAAGTAAGATATGATGAAAGAACCATATCCATTCCTTAAAAACAACTTTTAGCATGCTTTCCTTACAACCTCAGAGAACATCTGAAGCAAAAATAGAGTAGGTAGTATATGTAAGAGAGTGCCTTGCCATTTCATTGTTTGGTTTCCAGCAATATGTAGTGATATTTTTTTCTCCTTTTATTTACAGTATGGTGGTTCCACTCTCAACTTTTTTTGTCTTCCACTTCTTCCCAGGCTCTTATTCTCTTTTGCCATTACTTTTGCCATTTTGGGTCAAAACTGCAATCAATTATTCAAGCAAAGCACTGAAAAATTTGATTGAATATGAAGTATGGAATCAAGTTCCTAATTCATCTTGTATCAGCTTTCTTTCTTCTATATGATCTTAATCACTTTTTCCCAGTTGATACTTGGCAACTTCTTTGCAGAATGTTCTGGCACATTTACTTTTATGTTTTTTCTTTTGTTTCCTTTATTCCTACATGTTCTTCTTCTGTATCTCCATTTTAACCACTTCCATGTTGCTTAGCAACACCCACAATGACAACAACAAGGTAAGGCCCCACTGCTTCTAGCAAGTCTCACCTTACACCGAACAAAAATGTAATTTAACTTCACATTCCCAGTGAATTCACTTCCTCTGAATGGCATTGGTCTCAAATTCATGTCTCATTAATGAGATGTTTTTCTGTGAAAGCTAAGAACAAGTCAAACACACAGAAACACAGAGAGTTTCACAGGATATTTGGATCTCCCAGTTTTGCTCTGGCATTGCTAACCTGTTGAACTAATAAGAAAGCTAAAATAAGACACAGGGTTTTAGATCCTGGCTTTCCCAACATGTCAATACAGAGACTCTGTCTGTCATATAAATGATCAAACTGCTACACTCAATTATGAATCCAAACCTTATAAAAAGTTGAAAGATGTTTGGATTGTGAGACTTAGTCTGGCCACAAATCTAATTAAACACCATCCAGTCATTTCCAGTAAACATCTTTAATATCCCAAACTTTATTCCAGACTGCTTTCTCCCTTGGCATAATAGAACAGAAACAAAACAAACAAGCTAAGTTTCTTTTTTCTTTTTTTCTTTTTTTTTTTTTTTAATTTATAATTTTTTTGGACAACTTATTTAACCAGAAATATTAAGAAGATGGGACAAGAAATGTACTACCTTATCTGTCATAAGCTGCTATCAATTCCAAATCACAGAAAATATTTTTTGTCCCCACAAAATCACTTTTGCAATGTAAAACACTCAAATGCACTTCTGATCTTCATTGAAATGTTCTACTTTTGAGGGAGAAAATGGAAACTGATGTTTTTGCTTAAAAAATGTTTTTAAAAATCAGTTACTGGTTAAAAAGATTTTTTTATGTTTTGAAATTTGAATATATTTGCTATTTGATATTTACACACTTTCTCAGAATAATTAAAAATGTGTTTTGAAATATCAAGGCCTTTCCCTGAAATATATTGAAAAAAAATACATTTATTCAGTAAAATTCCTTGAAAAATAACTGGCATTTTCAAACTAGCTTCAGAAAGAAGTTAATTTCTAAACTAGCAAGGCCCTACATTGGACTGAGAAATCCTGACTTTGGACTTATAAACTACAGGTATAAAAACCAGAGAGGAACAAGAATTTAATACATACTCTCATATCTAAATATATATCTTTAAAATAGATTCTTTGATCTTCAGTCATATGAAACTTCAATTAACTATTTGATTTCACTTGGCTTTTGTTCAGCCCCTGGGATCACGTAATGTCAGCCCTGGAGATATTTTTATTCAGCAAGCGGAGGTCACAATGAATAATACTTACTCAGCCAACTAATGCTTTTAATTAGTTTTTCTTAGGGCCTGGTTCAGTAGCCCTTACTCATATTGAGTAATATTCACTGCACAAGTGGTACTGCTGTTGCAGCCATATTAATCATCAAAAGCACTGGTGAACTAAGCCCTGAATAAGTATCAACTCTCACATTTATCCAAGTATGGCAATTTTGCCACAAATATCCATGTACCTCCTGACGTACAAAAATGCTCTTGATTACTGGTAACCTATTGAACAACAGCATGCTTACATAATATATAATAATAATTATTATTATTATATTGTACTACATTTTTATATTTTTATTATGGGAGTCGGTGTGGCACCATGTAACAGCAAAACTGTATCCATGCGAAAACTACATAATCATCTGTGTACTTCTGCTTCTAATACATCCATGAAACATAACTAAGAAAATATCTGAGGGAGAGAGATTCAATTCTGAGGTCTGACTACACAGCAAAAAATGTACCAGTCTAACACTAGCATACAAGCCTAGTAGCTTCTAATGATTAATCTCTCTCTGAAGAGAGTTGAGGTTCCTGGAATGAAAAAAAAAAAAATCTGTAACATAGTTGAATTACATAAAAAGGAAATCAAGGAACTACCTCTGTTTCTAGCTATCTCTTGCATTCCAACAAACACATGTACATAAATAAAGTCAGGATAACTTACCAGGAAACACGATCCAACAAATAGTTAGTGAAGGAAAACCAGTATTACTTGTTCAGTATTATTTGTTTCTCACCATCCTTTTTTTCCCTTTTGACTTTCTATTCTACACAGTAAGTCCTCATATATAGACATATGTGTATATATGCATATATATGGCCTCCCTGAGCATATGAAGGATTATATATGGTGACTAATCTGCTCTCGTGTCGACCGTGCTACCAACTGGTTTTAAAAATAAATCCAAATAAAGAAAAATGGCTTAGGATCATCCCCAGTAAAGCCAAAGTTCCATTGCCAGTGAAAAAGAAAATAAACAGACGCTTTGTTGTCTAAAGTTGGAATCTAAAACTAGCTGGTGTGCAGATGTATCGTTTCACATTGCTCTGGGCTCAACTCTTCTGGGTTTGATTCAGATGAAATTCCCATGGATGCAGGCGAAAGCTATGTGTACCTTCTCTTAGTCAAAATTGTCAGTTACTTAGAGTCACAGCAGTAGCCACAGCTATGGGAGCAGGGTTACAGACGTTGGTTGTAACAGCGACCAAAGAAAGATGACGGTCTGCATAATGCATTTCCATTCTCTGTTCTTTACAGGAGAAACCCTGCTGCCACCTCATTGAAACCCAAGGGTTCAGGGACTTAGGTCCAGGCTAAGCCCTGTACAGCAGGTAATCTCCGTGCCCCCCCTCCACTGTGCCTCAAATTCCTCTTCAGGGCACAGAAACAGGGACTGCCCTCTCTCTGGGAGGGCAACATGCTTACCCCGATGGTTACTGTGATCTAAGCAAACACCTTCCCTAACTCAGAAGTGCTCTTTGCACATTGTGTGAGATCAGTACTCCCTGAAAATGTTGCAGTTTTGGGTATTCTGGACACGATTTGCCTTTTGGGTTGGTTGGTTTGTTTAATGCCACCCCTGTGTTTTAAATATTTCACATTTTAGCAGACTTTTAATAGTAACTCCACTTACAAGAGCATTTGCAGAAGAACTACGAGCAAATCCCTCTCTTCTCCCATGCTTTTTAAGTGAAGCAGCAAAATACTCTGAGTGTGGCACTGCCTGTTCACAAGGTTTGTATTCAAACTGATATTGGTAGAATTTAGAAAACACAAACCATTTTGCACCAGATTTGGTGTACAACCTGGTAGGTGTCTGCAAGAACTGCAAATAATAAACCTTTAATAACTGAAGCTGCCTGTTTCAGACAGTAACAGTGTTTTCTTGCTTATGTTGATGCAATTCAGAAAAAAAAAAAAAAAAAACAACAGCATGTCACTGGTGAGACTAGGATAAGCAAAAAAGTGATTCCAACCTTGAGTTTAAGCACAGGCACAGGCTCCCTGGATCACAGCGAGTACTATACATTTTGCGCTACAAAGCCAGCAAAACTTCCAACAAAAGTTGCTAAATCTCCGACTAAATGTATCTAATTGAAGAGAATAAACTCTCTGCTTAGGTGCATCTTCATTTAAAAGAAGGAATTCTTTCCTAGCATGGCAACTCTTCTGAGGTTTATTCCCTATGTAGAGCATTTCTCTTTCAGGGGGCCGTTAACAGTAGTTTTGTGTTCCCTTGCTAGCCTTGCCTTTCAGTATGAAGAGGCTTCTCTGTCACACAGGGCATTAAAGGCAAATAGCTGCTCTCTACTACGTCGCATGTCTGTGCACAAAAGAATTTGCAGAAGGCAGAAACTACACTACATTTTTCACAACAAGAAAAGAAGAGCAGGGCTCTGTAAACTAAGCATACAGGGGAAGGTGCCTTTTGGATCAACAGGTCAAATATTCATTTCTCCCAGTGACTGGATCCTCTACTTTCTGAAAACAATACTATTGCAATGTTTACTGAAGTGACTTGCCCATTAAAATCAATAGGAGAAACCGTGGGTGTAGAGGTAGCCCAGTAACATGGAACATTTTAAAATCCTGATTTATTTCTGCCATTTGTCAATCTTCTCTCTGCATTTTTTTTCAAGATAGTATACACATAGAGCATGCATTTATTTTATTTTGTTCTCAATTAAAAAAAAAAAAAAAAAAGGAATCCTAAGAACGTAATCCTTCCAGACTTTTCATCCAGTCATTTCCACCAAACCATAGGGAAAACAAACACATTAAAAATACACCAAATTAGTTGTGAGTTCTTGTGTTCCTAACAAATTAAACACATTGATGTTGACAAAGGAATGAGAATTCCTATTGCAAAGCTTTCTCACTTAGCTCACATTTTGGTTTTAGAAACTTCAGCTGGACTAATCAAGTCTAATGCAAAAGAAACAACTTCTTATAAGGCTAAACAGTTGGAAGTATACAACAGTTGGTATTTCAGGCTATGCAACTGCTCGAACAAGAAAGAAGAAATCTTGCAAACCTTTCTTCTCTGCATGTTTGCACAGCAGCAGCCATAATCTAGTTCTGGACCGGCAACTCCTGCCTTCTCTCCACCCCACAGGCTTTCTGTGAACAACCCTGCGGACTGGCAGATGAAAAAGAGGTATGATATTACCATGCCTCCAATAAATACACCGCATCCAAGTGGTTTTTGAGAAGCGCACTTTGTAGAAGTCAGAGACTTGCCCCCATGCTCTTTTTAATGCATCTCAAAGAGTTGGCCTCACCTTCCCAAGACCGAAACCACCCAACTTCAAAGCAAGTAGTCTGTGGAGCTGTGTGAAGTAAAATCATCTTGGAGGTTCTCTGGCACAGACGCGCTCCCCATCCCACCCCACCCAACCCTGGTGTAGGCATACAGACCTACACCTACTGTACAGACAGGGCAAACACCGCTCAGAAAAGGTTTTGGGATTCCCCTTTTTCCACCAACAACCCCGGTAACCTCACCACATGGGGAAAGAGGAGCTTCGTGCCCCGTTTGCAGACGGAGGCTGGCCAAACCCTCTGCTCCACCTTGGCGGAAACAGACCAACAAAAGGCTACCATGGCTCCAGAAAGAAAACCTCTGTATTAAAAGCCAAGTAACGCAGAGCTACAATAATAAATGCACATTATCTCAACTGGGAAATACAGTGTAAAAGGTTCGTTAAAGTTCAGCTTCAGCAATAACAATATATATACTGCTTCAGTTCTCGATCCTGCCTAAAAGACTTCCCTCTCTGTAAATAAAGAAAAGCCCTGCTCAAACTGTATTCATATACAAAAAAAAAGCTACTCCGACTACAACAAATGCGGTTGAATGGGAGGGTCTTTTATTTCCTGCATTGATTTGGGGAGGTGAGGGGGGGGGCTTTTTTTTTTTTTTTTTTTTTGTTTTCCCTTATTTTTTACTAAAAGGTTCGTTGAAAACGGGTATTAAAGATACAAAAGGAGCACACAGGCTTCGGTCGTTCCCGCCGGCGGCGGGGCGGTGCGCGCGGCGGAGCGGCTCCCCTCAGGGCAGCGCGAGCCGGGCCCTGAGGCGGCCGCGCGCGCCCCGTCCCGCCGCGCGCCGGGGGGGCACGCTTTGAACGAGGAAAAAAAACAAAACCAAAACAAAACAAAACGCACCAAAAAAAAAACCAAAACCAAACCAAAAAACCCACGAGAGGATCCGGCCCGGCGGGAGGCGGCCGCCCCGCGTCCCTCCACACCACACGACGAAGAAAAGGCGGGGGGGGTGGGGGTGGTTCGGGAAGGTGTCACCGGGAGAGGCTACTTGGCGGCGGCGGCGGCGGCGGCGGTGCTGCGTCGCTGCTCCATGCCGTTGGGCAGGAAGCCGGCGATGATGGGCACCGGCCAGATGAGGGCGGCCACGCTCCACACGATGATGACCAGAGTCATGAAGCAAGCCACCAAGGTAGACTCGATGGGCTTGCGGTTCATCCGCCAGCCCGGCTCCCCCTTCAGCTCCTCCAGGCTGAAATCCAGGCAGCAGAAATTCAGCGGCTCCCCTTGCAGCCAGTACTGGCCGGGCTCCGCCGCCGGCGGGTAGGAGAGCGAGGAGGGAGCGGCGGCGGCGGTTTGGGGCGCGGCGCCCCGCAGGCGCCCGACCCGCCTGCCCCGCACCCAGCTGCAGCCCACGCAGAGGCGCAAGTCCTGCTGAGCGCCGCCGGCCGCCAGCCCCAGGTGCTCGATGAGCAGCGGCGGCCCCACGCGGTGGAAGGCGGCGGAGAAGAAAGCCCGCCCGTGGCTGTTGGTGGAGAAGAGCAGGAGGTCGCACTGGATGCCCAGCGGGCGGCTCCAGCGCACCAGCAGCGAGCTCAGCATCTGCCGCTGCACGCTGATATTGCAGTGAGGGTCCTCGGCGGGCTGCGGCTGCCCCTGCGGCTGGGGACGCTGCTGCTGCTGCTGCTGCTGCTGCTGCTGCTGCTGCTGCCCGGAGGAGGTGGGAGCGGAAGGGAACGGCTCTTGGCTAGGGGCAGCCGGCGTGCCCGGGCTGGCGGTGCTGCCTTCCTCCTTGCTCGCTGCCCCGTCGAGGTCCATCTCGAGGCTGGCCAAGGAGCGGGAGGAGGAGTTGATAGGGGGCAAGAAGAGCTCTTGCTCCTGCTCCTCCTGCCCGCCGGCAGCCGCCGAGGGGCTCCAGCCCTGACAGGGCGGCAGGCAGGCGGCCAGCAGTGCCGGGAGGAGCAGCGGCAGCATGGCATTAACTTAGAGCCACAGAGGAGGGAGAGGAGGAGGAGGAACGGGAGGCTGCATGGCGCTGCCGGCTTCCATCTGGGAAGGGAGGCACACTGCTCTCGCCGAGAGAGCGAGAGAAAAGGGAAGGAGGGTGGGGGCAGGCGAGGGGGTGGGAGCGGGGCTGGGGCTGCCGCGGCGGCGAGGCGAGCGAGCCGGGAGCCTCGGTGACGGCAGCGGCTCCCCCCTTCCCCGCCTCCTCCGCCCCCGGCCCGGCCCGGCCCGGCCCGGCGGGAGGAGCCGAGAGCCCGGCCGGCCCCGCTGCCGCGCCCTGAGGCGCCGGCCCGGGGCAGCGGCGGTCCCTCTGCCGTCAGGCGGGGAGCGCTCTCCCGCGCTGCTTCCCCGCTCCTCCTCCTCCTCCTCCTCCTCCTCCTCCGCTTTTCCTCCTTGTCCGGGGGGTGGGAAGAACCGGAGCCTCCCAGCTCCGCCGCCGCACCCGCGGGGGCTGCGGGGCAGTCGCCCCTCTCCCTCCTCGGAGGGGCAGGGGCGAGGGACGGAGGCTGCTGGGCTGGGCTGTGCGGGGAGGGGGAAGAGCACCCAGGAACGGACGGCACACACTTTTCGGGGGAAGGGGAGTTTAAACGGTCAGATCGGGGGGCGGTGGTTGAGACCTTTCCCTCGGTGCTCTGCAGGTCCCGGCTCAGCTCCGGGAGCTGCTCCCGCAGCCCGGCGGGAGCGCGGGGGCGAGGCATCCCGCAGGCGGGCGCTGTCGGTCCCTGTCGCGGAGATTTAAACGTGGAAGCTTGTTACAAGGAGCACAAAGCTACCAAGTGTGGCGGCTGTGAGGCTTGCTGGCGTTTTTCGAAAGGCTGCTTTAGAAGCATGATAGTTTCTAATCAAGCTAGATCCTCCAGCTTGTTTCATGACCCTGTGCTGACTATAGTATTACTCTTGACACAGGTTGAGGCTTGCCGTGTTGCCGTTTGACACTTGGAGCCTTGTGGAGGGACGGAACTGGGTGACACAAATGATGAGCATTTCTTAGCCTTTACCTTGGGCAGAGGGTGGGATAGAGTTACATTTTTCCTGGCAAGCATCCAGAACCGAGACTCTCTTCTTCGCCTTTGCAGTCCTTTTTTTGACACATACGGGCGCAAAAGGGAGACATGAATACAAGAACTAGGCTTGCCCAAGTATATATGGGACAATTTATGTAAATGATAGAACTGAACTCTGTAACGTGCTTCTTTGCGGTTGGCATTGGTCCCATGTCAGATATGGTCCCACATCAAAGCGACACATGGACACCCTCTCACTTGGAGAATGAGTTACTCTACTAGCACTCTCGAGTCTTTCAGATGAGTGAGGGTAGTGAATGAGGGTAGAGACTAAATTTTAGATTTGCTATAATTCAACATGAATGAAGGTAGTGAATCAGTTTTCTTTCAAAACCCATGCCTAAATATATCATGGCAAAACCCAGAGTTGTTTGCCTTTTATTCAAAAAAGACCTGAGCACCAAAATGGACTTGTGTTTGGTCCCAAATTAGCCCAAATTATATTGTCTACCAGATGTCTATAGTTTGGCTAGGTTTTTAGTTTGGCTTATTACAGAGAAACATGCCTTATGAAGCATTCAAAGAAAGCTGTCGGGTTCCAGTTCTGGGTTTTTGCTCAGATGTTACAATACAGTTAATACATTTTTCCAGTGCTGTTTCAATGTCCCTTACTTAAGAGTTCTCTGATACTTTTTATCATCCCTCGAATGTGTCTCTACATGCATCTCATGGTGTCCTTTGTTGTATTCACAGTCCTACGCATTTGTGTGGCTGTAAATTTTTCTGTTGTAATATGTCTGTAGACCCAACACCAGATTAAGAGAGGGCTAGCATGTAGCAAATAATGCCAGAACTCTGTGACCACTGGTGTGCACAAACTACATTGCCCTGGGATTTGGGCACAAAGGACTGGAAATGGAACTAAGACTCATAGATAAGATTTAGCTCCTGAACAGTGTTGCAGTATGTGGGTGGAAAATGTTCTCAGGCAGAGCTTCAGTTCTTCTGGCCTCAACTCCCAGCACCCAGCTGAATACAGCCAGGGGTATTTGTGAAGAAGTTTGGGGAGGAAGAGTTGAGCTAAGTTTGTTTTCCTGCAAGGAAAGATAATCTGCCACAGAAAGGTTAAATGCATTTAGCATCGTTTAGACTACCATAGCAAAGAACTAAAAGAGGACAATTTATTTCAGGTTGGAGATGCATGGGTGCCTCATATCTATTCCTCTTCATCAAGGAATAATTGAGCAAGTGGGTGGAAGAAGCAGAAAGTATGCTATATCATTGGTTGATAGCCACTGCCCAGCAGCACCCTGTACAGATATTTCATTTATGGGTCTATCAGATATAATTAATCTCTGCATGGATTCGGTCATTCAAAGACGTTGCAGCACACTTGAAAACTCTTTATAAGTAGCATTAATATATAGCTCTGTTCTGTGGTTTTCAGCCATAAATCTCAAAGAACAAAGTAGTTCTATGGCTGGGGAGGCTGAAGCATAAAGAAATCAGGGACCAGCCAAAGGTGACCTACAAATCACAGGCAGATTAGGATGTAGATTTTGCAGGTTTGATTCTATAGATATAACTAGAACTATAATATGCACCGTAGGTCACAGTAGCATTTGTCAGTGTGGTAGAGGAGGTGTGAAGTGGGCTATAATGATAAAATTTTAGAAGGGAATAATGAGGTAACAAGACAGTAGGAGTTTCATGAGACAGACTGTAGAGCTGTTGGGAAGATGAAGACTAATGGTAAAGGACAATCAGAATCTTTGAGAGTTGTTTTAATGACATTTTAACTAAACATTTTTCTTAAAGTATGGCTTGTTAAATACTTCAAGCAAGATGAAATCAAGAATAAGTATTTCTGCCGGAGTGCCATTAAAATTGTATCTCACGAGGTTGCTGTTTTAGAGCCTGAAGCCTCATTGCAGCTAGTGGAAACTGACCCTAAGCAGGTACGGATTCCAGAAGGAAATCTGTAATTGCATTCAAGACAAAAGCTTGTGATCCTCAGGCAGCTTTTCTCAATTTGGCAAACTTATGTTGATCTGCACTGAGGAGAGGGAACAACTGTGGAACTTTTCTTGACGGGGGATGTGCTTTTGAGGTTGTCATTTCTGAAAGGAGTTGCACGTGGGAGAGAAGATGGGAAAGTAGCAGAGTAAGGGGTTGGATACCCAACTATAACATCACAGAGATATTTTTCTGTGGAAATACACCTACTGTCAATTGCAGGAAAAATGATCTTATGAGCAAGTAAGTATAGTGGTGCGCTACCGATCTCTGTAAAAGTGCCAGGTAAATAAGGAGAATTTCACAGTCAACAGCTGAAGAGGGAGGCAGGGTCAGGAGAAAGAAGTTGGTACTTGTCTCCTCTCAGAAAAGAGCAGTTTCAGTTCTGTGAAAGAAGCAGGATCTAATCATCCTGGGGATTGTTCTGGCAGAGATACTTATTCCCAGCTGAGGAAAAATGTTTCTGTGATATAGTTCAGAGGGCTTGGTTGACTAATGGTTTCACAGCTGATGTGGGGGGAGAATCTCAGAGTAACATAAGGACACAGTGAGCTGATCGTATGATGGCTGTAGAATATGCTCTTTGAAAACTCCTTGATAATCAGTGGTTTAGTTGGTTGAAGAAGGAGCTAAGGGATGTTTCATACTGCCCACCGACGTGTTGCTTTGATTGTTAGCACAGTGATTGGAACCTTCGCTCCCCTCCTCCCTGCTTGGTATTCTTGTGGATTTGTCAGAAATTATTTGTGATGAAACACTTAAAGGCTACTGAAGCTTCTGAAATGGATAATAGAAGCTTGTTGGACTAAGGGGCTTGCTACTACTACATCATGTCAGAAAGATTTATCTGCAGAGAACAGAGATCATGCGCTGCATGGAACAAGCCAGGGTTTTGTACCACTCTTTATATGAATATCAGAAGCCCAGACAAAGGGAACAGCCAGTTGGCATGCAGGCTGAGAACAAGGGCATAATCTCTCCAGAGCAGTCAACACACCTATCTCAGCAAAGACACTAAGCTCGTCATCTGACATGCATTTCTGTCAGCAGCAGATAGTGCTTCCACACCATCCTCTCACTTATACGGAGAGATGTCCCTGAAGCCATAAAATGACCCACATCAAAGAGCTGGGGCAGATGACTGCTGTTTTAAAATACCTTTGATATACATGCCCTTCTTCATTAAAATATCGTAAACATTTTCAGACTTACATTAACCCCAGCCTTTAACCCCTCATCCAGATCATCACGCACTCCTGCAAAAAGCTGTACCTGCGTAGCTGAGGGAGTGAGGCAAGGTGGCAGGGAAGGTGAGAAGGTTTGAGCAGTGAGGGCCAGACAAGGGCTATTTAGCCACTGCATGTCAAGATGGGCTCTAGTGGGGCTCCCACGGTCTGCAAACCACACATCTGGTGGAGTGTGGACCAAGAGAAAGCAACTGCCATTAGGAATCGAGAAGTACTGAGTTATGCATGGCAATGACTACAAAGTCTACTCCAGCTGCAAATACGATTGCTAGAAATCGGGAAAATGTTCAGAGCATCAGGTGGTATCAGTAAGATAGAGGGCCTGCAGGATGAGGGCTCTGGGAGCTTTGAGGAGTACTTAGGAGCTCATGTCCAGAACTCTGTTAGACTGCGTGTTGTTCTAGCACAAACTAAAAAGACTGCTTCAAATCGAAAGATAAGTGTGAAATATATGCAGAAAATGCTAAGGGGAGTGTATTAATATACTTTCGGAGCTTTTTTTGTAGCATGATTTATATAGGTTGAGGCTTTTAGATAAAGATCAAAAAGAAACAACAGGAAAAGAAGAATCTGTGGGAATGGATGTAAGAGAGGAGTAGTCCAAAGAAAAAATTTTGTGCTTTCAGAGCTCAGGGTGGTCTTAAAACAAGACCAGAGTGGCTTAAGGTAATCGCAAAATATAGAAAACTATAATATAGGCTGGTTAGACCTGGTTGGCTTACAAAGAGTGATAAATACAGTACTTTCATGTATTCCATTTATACAGTGAAGTTTTTAAGATGGATTTTGACTTGAAGCAGTGTTCTAGGAAGACTGTATTCTTGTTCTTGCCTAAGTTTCCACTTGCATGTTGGATAAGACCCTCACTCATGTGAGACTTCCTCCCAACTGAAATTCTAAAGCT